AGCTTTTGAAAAAAAAAAAAAAACGGTCACATGAAAAATGAATTATCACTATTAAAAAAAAAAAAAAAGGTTTAAAAAGGCTTGACCTTACTCTCTCTCTCTCTCTCTCTCACACACACCTCTTTTCATTTATATTATAAAAGATTGAAATTTTTTTGTGTTGTGTTGTTAATTTAAAAAAAGGAAAAATTTTTTAAAATTAATTTTTAAAAATAATAAAAAACTCGTTAAAATCGTTTAGATTTTCCTTTTTTTCTTTTTTTATTGTTTTCGTATATAATAATAATAATAATTCGTGATTCGGATTTTTAGAAAATGTTAAAAAAAAAAAAAAAATTTCGGTTGGGAAAGTCTCAAATCCTTGAGAATTACTTTTCAATCGTGGGAGAAAGTAGGATTTAAGAACGATTCACTTCCTTACGGGAAATCCTCTGGGGAAAAGTTTTCTTTTTTTTCTTGTGGGAAGGGGGGGGGAGGAAGGGAAAGAGAAAAATGCCACGATATAAAAAGTCAAATCTTTTACTTCTTATGTCAAAATCTCTAACCGTAGTAGTACTTATTATTATTATATATAAATTTTTTTTGCTGTTGTTGTTCTCTTAATGATAACAATTAAAAAAAATTTTTTTTGTAAAATTTAATTGGGGGGCTGGAAAACTATTCGGAAAAAAAAGGAAAATTTTTTTTGTTTTGTGATAAAAAAAAAAAAATAATTTTAAAGACTAGACGACACCTTCCTATAGAGAAAACCAACTCCTTTCATTTATAATTAAGTTTCCTTTGTAATAATAATATTCCCTGATCAATAGACCTTTTCCCTTTTAATTAGACTAAATTTTCTCTTTCCATTTTCTATTTTCGGTCCTTTTTTTTTTTTCTCTTGTTTTACAAAAAAAAAAAAAAAAAAGAAAAAGAAAATTGAACTAATAAAATTATTATTTAACTTTTACTCGATTTTTTTTATTAAAAAAAAAATTCACACTTTTAATTATTACTACGAACCTAAAAAAAAAAAATGATAATAATTATTATTATAATCTTTGATAAACGTATGTTAAAAAAAAAAAAAGGAAAAAATTTTCCAATGGAAAAATCCAATGGAAAAAAAAAAAAAATTAAATTAATTTTCAATGCAAACTGCAAAAAATTAACAAAAAAATTTTTTATTAAATTTAATTATTTTTTAAGTTAATAAATATTTTACGGGCTACAATTTGATATATTTATTTATTTATTTATTAAAAAAAAAATGTCCTTGTTATTAATGTAATAAATAACAAAAAAAAAAGAAATTATGCAAAAAATTTTTTTTTTTTCTTGGCAAGTGCCATTTTTTTATAAGTAATAATAAATTTTTAAATGATTTCTTATCAATAGTTTTAAGCTGATTTCCCACCCCCTCTCTCCCTCTCCCTCTCCCTCTCTCTATCTCTCACTCTCTTTCTCTCTCTCTCTCTCTCTCTCTAT